AAAATAATTCATATTTTCACATGTGATGATATGCTTATTTGGTTATTGTTGGTTCCGAATGAGATTGGGAGTAGAATTATATGCGAAAACGAAACTATGAGTGAGATTGGGGGAAGCTGTAATATGAACATAGTGGCATTCACATTGAGTGCATTTATTCCTAGTATAGCAGATATAAGCTGCAAGGTTTGTTTCTTTTTTAAGACCTTTTGTGGTGTTGTTGGTAGCACCTTGGCATAGTAATTATAAGTCCAAGGTTAAAGTCCCGGTCGGGTAAAAATGATTCATATTTTCACGTAATGTAAAGAGCATTTTTGGTTACTGTTGGTCCCGAACGAGATTGGGAGTAGAATTAAATGCAAAAACAAAACCATGAATGAGGTTTGGGGAAGCTGAAATATAAATATAGTGGCATTCAGATTGAATGCGTTCAATGCTAGTATAGCAGATATAAGCTCTAAGGTCTTTTTCCCTTTTAAGGCCCTTTGTGGTGAAGTTGGTAGCACCTTGGCTTTGTAATTATAGGCCCCATGTTCAAGTCCCAGTTTTGCGTAAAAATGATTTTTGTTTTCACATATGGTAATTTGCATGTTTGGCTATTATTGGTTCCGAATGAGATTGTGAGTAGAACTAAATGCGAAAACGAAACCACGAGTAAGATTAGGGAAAACTGTAATAAAAAATAGTGGAATGAACATAGCGGAATTCATATAGAATGCTCTCATTCCTAATATAGCAGATATAAGCTGCAAGGTCGGTGTCCATTTTAAGACATTCTGTGGTGTAGTTGATAGTGCCTTGGCTTAGTGATTATAACTCCTAGGTTCAAATTTCGATTGGGGTAAAAAATGATTCAAGTTTTCACATTAAGTACTGTGCTTTTTTGGTTATTGTTGGTCCCGAATGAGATTGGGAGTTGAATTAAATGCGAAAGTGAAACCACGAGTGAGGCTGGGGGTAACTGAAGTATGAACATAGTGGCATTCAGATAGAATGCTTTCATTCCTGGTATAGCAGATATAAGTTGTAAGGTCTATTCCCCTTTTAAGAACTTCTGTGGTGTAGTTGGTAGCACCTTGGCTTTGTAATTATAAGTCCCAGGTTCAAGTCCCTGTTAGTGTAAAAATGAATTATGCTATCACATTTGGTAATGTGGTTATTTGGTTATTGTTGGTTCTGAATGAGATTGCTGGTAGAATTAACTGCGAACACGAAATACACGAGTAAGATTGGGGAAAACTGTAATATGAACATAGTGGCATTCAGATAGACTGTTTTCATTCCTAGTCTAGCAGATATAAGCTGCAAGGTCTGTTTCACTTTTTAGACCTTTTGTGGTGTAGTTGGCAGTGCCTTGTAATTAGTAATTATAAGTCCTAGGTTCAAGTTTCGGTCGGGGTAAAAATGATTCATGTTTTCACATATAGTAATGAGCTTATTTCGTTATTGTTGGTCCCGAATGAGATTGGGAGTTGAATTACGTGCAAAAACGAAACCATGAGTGAGATTGGAGAAAACTGTAATATGAACATAGTGGCATTTGGATAGAATGCATTCGTTTTTAGTATAGCAGATATAAGCTTTAAGGTCTGATAATTTTTAAGACCTTCTGTGGTGTAGTTGGTAGTGCGTTGGCCTAGTAATTATAAGCACAGGTTCAAGTTTCGGTTGGGGTAAAAACGATTCATGTTTTCACTTATAGTTATGTGCTTATTTGGTTATTGTTGGTTCAGAAAGAAATTGAGAGTAGAATTAAATCCGAAAACGAAACCATGAGTGAGATTGTGGGAAACTCTAATATGAACATAGTGGCATTCAAATAGAATGCTTTAATTCCTATTATAGCAGATATAAACTGTGTGGTCTGTTTCTCTTTTAAGACCCTCTGTGGTGTATTTGGTAATGCCTTGGTTTAATAATTATAAGTCCCAGGTTCAAGTTTCGCTCGGGGTAAAAATGATTCATGTTTTTGTATATTGTAATGTGCTTATTTGGTTGGTAGTCTCCATGGCAAAATGGTAGCGTCTGAGACTCTGAAGCGGCAGGGCAATGGTCCGCGTCCCATCACGGACTGAGGATAGTAAAGGCATACACTCAGGGTAATGATTACATCTGCAAAAACAAGTCCTTTTTAAGAAGACAATCGTCCTAGCCCTTAGTAGAAAAGGGAGTTCGTGACGTAAAACCGAATCCATGTAATGTGCTTATTCGGTTATTGTTGGTCCCAAATGAGATTGTGAGTTGAATTTAATGCAAAAACGAATCCACGAATGAGATTGGGGGAAACTGAAATATGAACATAGTAGCATTCAGATAGAATGCGTTCTTTTCTAGTATAGCAGATATAAGCTGGAAAGTCTGTTTCCCTTTTAAGACCTTCTGTGGTGTAGTTAGTAACACCTTGGACTAGTAATTATCAGCCCCAGGTTCAGGGCCTGGTCGGGGTAAAAATAATTCATGTCTTCACATGTGTTAATGTGCTTATTTGGTTATTGTTGGTTCCGAATGAGATTGGAATAGAATTATATATGAAAACGAAACCACGAGTGAGATTGGGGGAAACAGTGTAACGACTGTAGTTACTTCACTACTTCAAACGGAAAGCAAGAGTTATTTTACTTAATATATAAAAGAGGATGTTCACCAATACAAGTAGAATATTGAACTAATTTAATGATCAAATTCAGTGTTATTCATATGTACAGCTATTGACCCATTAAATACAACTTTAAAATAACTTAATAATTACTAAATGATTACCTATTTACAATAATTACATATTTTGATAAAAAAATATTATTTACAATTTGTACGTTTGTACAACAGTAATATAAACATAGTGGCATTCACATTGAGTGCATTTATTCCTAGTATAGCAAATATAAGCTGCAAGGTCTGTTTCTCTTTTAAGACCTTTTGTGGTGTATTTGGTAGTACCTTGGCATAGTAATTATAAGTCCAAGGTTAAAGTCCTGGTCGGGGTAATAATGATTCATGTTTTCACGAATAGTAATGAGCTTTTCTGGATACTGTTGGTCCCGAACGAGATTGGGAGAAGAATTAAATGCGAAAAAAAACCATGAGTGAGGTTGGGGGAAACTGAAATATGAATATAGCGGCATTCAGATAGAATGCGTTCATTCCTAGTATTGCAGATATAAGCTCTAAGGTCTTTTTCCCTTTTAAGACCCTTTGTGGTGAAGTTGGTAGCACCTTGGCTTTGTAATTATAAGTCCCATGTTCATGTCCCGGTTTGTGTAAAAATGATTCTTGCTTTCACATATGGTATTGTGCTTGTTTGCTTATTATTGGTTCCAAATGAGATTGTGATTAGAAATAAATGTGAAAACAAGACCATGAGTGAGGTTTGGGGAAATTGAAATATGAACATAGTTGCATTCTTATAGAATGTATTCATTCCTAGTATAGCAGATACGAGCTCTAAGGTCTTTTTCCCTTTTAAGTCCCTTTGTGGTGAAGTTGGTAGCACTTTGACTTTGTAATTATAAGTCCCAGGTTCAAGTCCCGGTTTGTGTAAAAATGATTCTTGTTTTCAGATATGATAATGTGCTTCTTTGGCTATTATTGGTTCTGAATGACATTGTGAGTAGAATTAAATGCGAAGACGAAACCACAAGTAAAAATGGGGAAAACTGTATTAGAAAATAGTGGAATGAACATAGTAGAATTCAGATAGAATGCTCTCATTCCTAGTATAGCAGATATAAGCTGCAAGGTCAGTTTCCATTTTAAGACAATATGTGGTGTAGTTGATAGTGCCTTGGGTTAGTATTCATAAGTCCCATGTTCAAATTTCTGTCAGGGAAAAATATTATTCATGTTTTCACATATGGTACTGTGCTTTTTTGGTTATTGTTGGTCCCAAATGAGATTGGGAGTTGGATTATTTGCGAAAACGAATCCACGAGTAAGGCTGGGGGTAACTGAAATATGAACATAGTGCCATTCAGAGAGAATGCGTTCATTCCTGGTATAGCAGGTATAAGCTGTAAGGTCTGTTTCCCTTTTAAGACCTTCTGTGGTGTAGTTGGTAGCACCTTGGCTTTGTAATTATAAGTCCCAGGTTCAAATCCCTGTTAGTGTAATAATGATTTATGCTATCACATATGGTAATGTGGTTCTTTGGTTATTGTTGGTTTCGAATGACATTGTGAGTAGAATTAAATGCTGACACGAAAGCTTGAGTAACATTGGGGAAAACTGCAATATGAACATAGTGGCATTCAAATAGAATGTTTTCATTCCTAGTCTAGCAGATATAAGCTGCAAGGCCTGTTTCCCTTTTAAGACCTTTTATGGTGTCGTTGGTAGCACTTTTGCTTAGTAATTATAAGTCCCAGGTTCAAGTTTCGGTCGGGGTAAAAATGATTCATGTTTTCACATATAGTAATGTGCTTATTTCGTTGCCAAATAATGCAAGTGCAAGGGTTACAGCTCAAATATATATTCGCATTCCTGGCAACCCCTTTGAGAGAGAGATACGTAATATATTGACAAATCAAGGCATTCCTTCTGAAGAAGTCTTGATTAAGGAGCTTTCTTGCAAACCAAATTGGGTTTCCTTCACAATAACGATATCGAAAGGATTTGAATATGTGCCTTACAAACTGAATCAATGGCCTACAGGCACAATTGTCCAGCTATATCGTGGGGGCAAACAATGGACACAACCTGGGTATTCTACAAAATATCCCAAACTACAGTCATACCAAAATAAACAGCAAAGAGCTAATGAAGCAATCCCCTATACGCGAGACGACAGAAAGAGACACGATACAAACCTCTCTTATCGCCGTCCACGCACAAGAGACTTCTTCTGGAGTGATGGCTCTTACAACCCTAGACACTCACCTAGGCATACAAACTTGGGAAGGCCCGATCATACCATGGCACATTCTCAAACCAGCATTACCCATCCAAAGGCAGGTACAGACACCAGGATCCATGGGCTAACCCCAGAACACACTACAATGATGAAT